TTTTGCGCCTCATACGGACTGATCCTAGGACCGAACCATGATTAAAACTAGGGGTGTCAAATTATCGCGTTAATTGCGATTAATTAATTACAGTCATATTTAGCGCGTTATGTTTTTTAATCGCGTTAATCTCATTTTTAATCTCTAACTTTAGTGTTTCTGTATGTGAGTTTCTTGATTATAAAACCTGTTTTTATGTGTTGTTGGGACAACAACAACACACACACACACAAAACACATTTATAAATTTTTTTATTTCGGTAATTCCACTCATTGCCGGAAACCCACACAACGCGCGCAGTAACAGCGATGTAAACATTATGTTAACGTTGGCGGCATCAGTCGCACAATGGACGAGGTCAAAGAGCCAGTAGAACAGAGGCAGCAGCGCACAGGTAAAAACACATTCGTGTCTTGGAAATTATTCTCCCGACGTGAAATATAAAAGAAAATAACAAATATAAAAACAACCTGCATAGGCTCATGATGTCTGCACTACTGTCCTATAGTGACCTGCCACATGAGGGGACACACACACAAACACACACAAACAAACACACACCTTCATCATCGTCATTACCCTGAGAACGCGTGGACCACGTTTCCTTCCGTAGTTACTGCGCGGACATCGACGTGCTGCCGTGAGCCGCGTGTGGATCGTGTTTTCTCGCGTACGCGGCGTAAACCGCGCTTCCTCCTGTGCGCCTCTAAACCAGAACTAACACCAAGACTAAAACCAGGACTAATCCAGTCCAGGACTAAACCAGGACAAAACCAGGTCTAAACCAGGATTAATCCATTCCAGGACTAAAGTAGGTCTAAACCAGGTCTAAACCAGGACTAAAACCAGTGATCTCATATATAAAGCATTTCTCTATCAATAATATTTTTAATATGGTTAAGGAAAGACTGGACTTTTTATTGTCTTTAAGTAGACAAAAGTTATTATGTTCAGATTTCCTCGTCTTTGCTACTTTACAACAAACAGTTTCTTATTCATGGAGACTTGGGCTCAACAGCCAAATTGGAGAGATTTGTTAAACAATAAATGACTTTATAAAGTCACTTTTTTAAATCTATATCAGTCTTTTGATCTGCCACAATAATGTAATAATGAATTTAAATGAAAATACCTCAAATTGAAGGCTTTTCTCAGCAATTTTTAGGTGAGATTAAAATTAGATTAATTAGATTAATTAATTACAGATCATAATTAATTAATCTCTCAATTTTATTAATCGCATGACAGCACTAATTAAAACAGGTCTAAACCAGAAGTGAACCAGTTCTGAGTGTCGGGACGGGCCCGGGTGTGCGCCCGCGTACACTGTCGGGTGATCAGGATTGATATTAGGTCCTGGTTTAGACCTGGTATGTTAAAATTTAATATACTATGAAAACATAAACCAGAAAACCATAAGTAACACAGTCAAATAAAAAAATACTTAACGCTTGGCTTATGGTGTGCGAGAATCTGAAAGTCCTCTGCTTTTTGACCTTTATGAGCATAGCGCTCCCTGGTGTTAGCAATTTCCCATAGTAACAGAATGTACGGTGAACTTTGACCTGAGTGTTTTTTATCTGAATTTCTCAACTTGAAATTTTTTTCAGTCTGAATTTCTCAACTTGAATTTTGTCAGTCTGAATTAAATGTAAATTATATGTAAATAGTAATGTAAAATAATACCCGCCTATCACATGCTAATGCTTTTTTCCCCCAATTATTTCCATTTTAACAATTTTTTAATTCAGGTTATTTCATTTATCACTAAATATTCTAATTCAAAACATTACATGTTACACATCATTTTTTTGTGGACTATGTAGTTTGTTTTATTTTTACAATTTTGGCAATTCTGAAAGCACCACATCACGTCCTCAGTCTGCTCCACTCCACCTGATATTTGGGCACGGCACACCTCTTGTTTAGAGCTCCATGCACACTTGCCCTACTGCTAAGATTCGGGGCAAAATCGGCCTTATAATCTTAAATATTCTTCCTATGCTTTTAACCCTGACTCTTTGAGTTCAGGATGGTTTTAGCCTACCTCATCAGAAAACCAATGTTTATATGTAAAAATAACTATTTGGATCTTGCTGTTTTTATTTCTTATCTTTCTTATTTTTTCAGGACTTTGAAATGAACTGTGAACTGAAGTTTGGAGTCATTTGTCTTCTGGAAGAAGTGCTTAAAGATCCAGACCTTCTGCCTCAAGAGCGAAAAGCCACAACAAATATTTTGAGGTTTTACAAAAAAACAAAACAAAACAAAACACTGGTACAGATTTTAAAAAGAAAATTTGAATGACTTAAAACTCTGTCCTTGGTTTTAGTGCTATTTCCCAAGAAGATCAAGATGATGGCCAGCTTAAGATTGAAGACATACTGCAACTGGTCAGTAGGCTTCAGTGGCCAGAGTCATTTGAAGCCCACATTAAAATTCTACTCAATTCAAGTAGTTGACAAAAGTACATGTTTTTGACACAGAAAACCTGTCCCCTACTTCACTTCATTGTGGTAAGAAAGGTACTTTTTGGTAACACATTAAAATATCTCATCACTATTACACTTACAATTGATTACATTTAATCAATTCTTATGTTGAGTTACTCTAAAATGTGTTTATGTTAGAAGCCATACTGCAGTGAATAGTTCCCTTAACCCTGGTCTATGGGACCAAATGAATTCCACTAAGCACTGATAGACTAAGGGCTATTAAGCTGTATAACCAACCAAGTTGTTTTGTAATTTTAGGCAGAGAGTCCCAGGACTGAATGCTTTGAGTCACTTTCTGCTATGGAGCTGGCAGAACAGATTACACTGCTGGACCACATAGTGTTCAGAAGTATTCCTTATGAGTGAGTATCAGGATTGTGAAGATACAGTACCAGTAACAACTGTTTTATGCTATGCCCAAATATACCAAAACCCTAAACAATAATATTTTCAAATAGCATTAAAGATAATATTCTCATGATGATAATTTACGCATCGAGATCATATAGTCCAATATTTAAAGGGAGTTCCTGGGCCAGGGCTGGATGAAGACTGACAAGTCAGAGCGCACCCCCTATATCATGAAGACTAGTCAGCACTTCAATGAGGTAAATCTTTTACATAAGATTTCACAATAATAACATTGTAATCCATAGTACATATGAAAATCAATTACTATTTATTATTGTAGTAAGCATTTAGTCGTTTCCTTGGTTTACCTGTTTCCTATTGGTTACTCTTAAATCTATAAGACCTGTTGCTTGCAGATGAGTAACCTAGTGGCCTCTCAGATAATGGCCAATACAGATGTGGGTTCCAGAGCTGGCTCCATAGAGAAGTGGTTAGCTGTGGCAGACATCTGTCGCTGCCTCAACAACTACAATGGTGTGCTTGAAATCACATCTGCCCTGAACCGTAGTGCCATCTACAGACTGAAAAAGACATGGACCAAAGTCTGCAAACAGGTTGGATGTTCTCTATGAAGGTTATGAAGGTCATCAATGTATTGTATTGATTTGTTCATAAATTATTTTGTTATTATTATTTTTTTGTTTTTAGACAAAAGCACTCATGGACAGACTGCAAAAGACAGTATCATCTGAAGGAAGGTTTAAAAATCTCAGAGAAACACTGAAAAAGTAAAAAAGAAATACTAAAGAATTACATTCTTTAAGCGCTAGTTTCTAAACAACAAAACAAAAGCTATACTCTTTTTAATCTGTGTGCAGCTGTAACCCTCCATGTGTCCCATATTTGGGCATGTACCTCACAGACCTGGCATTTATTGAGGAAGGAACACCTAATTTCACTGAGGAGGGTTTGGTGAACTTTTCCAAAATGAGGATGGTAAACAAAACAATTGATTTTGCAGTGTTTATTGTCTCAAACAGATCTATCTAATTGGTTCTTTGCTCTTTGCACTAGATATCTCATATTATTCGAGAGATCCGTCAGTTTCAGCAAGCCCCTTACAGGATAGAGCACCAACCAAAGGTATGATAAAGTTATTGTGGCTATTATGGTATAAGAGTATTTTAGTTAATGCAGGGAATATTTCCTAATTTTCTAGGTGACACAATTCCTTTTGGATAAATCGCTGGTAATGGATGAAGACACACTCTATGAGCTCTCATTGAGCATTGAACCTCGGGCTCCTCCAAGCTGAGAATCATCAGAATGCACAGCAAATTCACATGCTGTACTGCAAAGTGTCACTCATTTGCACTACCTGTAAGGATCTCAGGTGAAAATGTGCCTTTTTGAATTCAAATTGAATTTCAAATCATTTTTTGTTTATAATACAAAAAGATATACTGTCTTTTAAGTAATAGTAATAGAATATTATGTGATCTTGGAAGTAAAACTTTCTGTAACAGGGCATTATTTTAACTCCCTCTCAGTATAATTTTATTAAATATGTTATATATGCATGATCTGTGGAAGACCTAACAATGTCATGACATGACATGTCATGTCATGCCATGTGAGGCTTTTTTTGTTGTTGATAATCCTTATACAGATTTTTTAAATTTACATCTGAAGGAATTTAAGATACTCCTATATATAAAATTTAAGTGATGCTTAGAAAACATTTGTAAACTGTATCAGACAATCTGATTCTAAAACATGTTTACACCTTCTCTCTTCTGTAGCCAGGCTTCACTTGTATTTTTGTTTATTTGATATGTAAGTTTTAACTCCATTCCTATTTTTAAGTATTGCTTTCTTACTTCAGTGTCACTGTTATTTATTCATTATAATAAATATTGCTATTTCCTTGCACAGTTGATAATAAAAGCAAATTTAAAAAAAGAAAAATATTCTTATGAGTTAAAAGGGGATATTTATGGTTAGGAACATAATGGCTACAGAAGATCAAGGTTGAAAAGGACAGCAGTATCCCTCACAGGCTGTGCTCAGACCTTCCTGTACTGTTATCAGTGATTGGCTTCAAGTAACTAATCCCCTGTGAGGGGCGGAGCCCATATGGTAGGCAGCTGAAAAGCTCTTTAACTGGGAGCCCTCCTGCTACAGGCCGAGCAGCACTTCACAGGTACTGTACCTTAATTTTCTTGATTGCCAATTCTTCTGCATACACATCAAATAGCATCATGTGTTATACTAAGCACATGTGGATTAAAATGCTATAGTAAATTTTAATCTTGAGGTTTAGAGTGTGTTATTGTTAGATATACTTTCTATGTCCTGTGAGCTCTTGGGAGGTGAAAGGTTACTGAGGGGGAATCCTTAGTTGTTGTCAGCTCCTAGTTTGGTAACCAGAATCATGAAATTCACAAATCTTCACACACGGCACAATAATAATAATTATTATAAATTTTTTGTTATTGCTAAACTGTGAAGAAAAACAATCAAGATGCAAAATGCCCGCTGCTCTGACCTCCCCTTACTGTCACGAGGGTCTGGTCCTGTAACAGGTCCAGAATGTCACTGAGCCATGAGCCAGAGTTTTCTTGGCACTACAGCTTAGAAACTTTTAGCCCCACAGTGATCTATATATATAACTCACGAACAGACTACTACAGTTCTGTGGTGTATATTATCAGAACCACTGAGAAAAGGAACTGCCAAAGGTTCCTTAGCTGACAGAACAAAACATACCCAAACTCCTCGAAGGGCTCAGCAAGAACCTGCTCAAACTAAGATTCCCAGTAGTAATGTTCTTGGTCCTTTCTCAGGAATAGATGTAATATTTATACCATCCATCAAATTGCACTTTAACAGTTTATTACATGCAACAGCACTATTGTTAGGAAAACAAGTGATTAAAATCACAATTACAGCAGCCTTTCACTAATCTCTTATTATTCTAGAGTTGCTGTCATCTTTGTCATTTTGTATGTTGGGTGATAATGAGGTTAAAGAGGATCTGCCCCCCCCCCCCCCCCTCTCGTTCACCATCTAAGCTTGTTACTGTGCTGCATCCAACCAGTGCAAATCTGCCCACCAGTTGTATGTGTTACATCAGTGTCATTAATTGCTCAATACTTGTCCTCCAGCTCTTTGACAAAAAGACAAAAAGGATGGCAAGCTCTTTCACACGCCTGATTTCAGGCCGTAACAAGGCCGTCCTGTTGGCTGGTCTGGGTGCTGGAACTATGGCCACAGGCTTCCTGTTGAGTGACAGTGGCTCTCTTTCTGCTGAGGCAAAGAAGAAGCTGTATCCTCCCAGGTACGATAAAAACTAAATCACACACAGAAAAATAACGTCTCACACATTCAAAGCTTATTACAAGTCTTATTCAAAACTCAGGGCTGATAAACAATCCAACTGAAATGACACATTTTAAATGTTTAAATAAATGCCTTGAGTTCATCTCTATGTAAAAAGCTCAAGGGTAATAGCAGCAGTCCTGCAAGATCCCTGACATTCTCAAGTTTCATCTGTGTTGCCTTTGACTCACTCTCAATGTCCCAGATTTCCTCTTCTCTTTACAGTTCTGGTAGCCTTTTGGAATTAACCATTACCTGGCTCTGGGTGGTTTTCTAGTCTAATAACACTGCTGTGACAGTTCTTTATTGTAAATAACACGTATAAAGGATGACAACAGAAAATTAAAGATATATTGACTTGTAGCTATATGCTAACAATGACTTTTACATGTTGTTGTGGATTTAGCTCTGACTACCCAGATCTGAGAAAACACAACAACTGCATGGCTTCTGCCCTGACTCCAGCAATTTATGCCAAACTGAGAGACAAGGTCACTCCCAACAACTGGACTCTGGACCAGACCATTCAGACTGGGGTGGACAACCCAGGCCACCCATTCATTAAGACTGTGGGCTGCGTTGCTGGTGATGAGGAAAGCTATGAGGTTTGACAACTTCTTACCTGATTTGATATGGTGCATGTCACAACACTGGCTCTACATTTTAGTTTGAACCTTCTCTCTGTAGGTGTTCTCTGACCTCTTCAATCCTGTGATCATCGACAGACATAACGGCTATGATCCAAAAACAATGAAACACCCAACTGACCTGGATGCATCCAAGGTGCTTTTCTACTTTGATTCTACATCACTACTTCTGATGTAGTGTTCAATGTAGTCTCCTCTGCCCAGATAACCAATGGCATGTTTGATGAGAACTACGTGTTGTCCTCTCGTGTGCGTACGGGCCGTAGTATCCGTGGTCTGAGCCTGCCTCCAGCTTGCTCCAGGGCTGAGCGCCGTGAGGTGGAGCGTGTTGTGGTGACGGCCCTGGCTGGTTTGAAAGATGACTTAGCAGGCCGTTACTACAGTCTAGGTGACATGACAGAGCAGGAGCAGCAGCAACTGATAGATGTAAGTTTGAACAAATCATATTCTCCCTATTGAACCATACTCACAAATAAATACAAATACAATCAAAGAAATTGTCCATAAATATGACAGCTGTTACCAATGTTTTAATAAACTTCCACTGAATAAAGTATTACATGTAAAATGCCTAATCCAAGACGCTGCTCCCAAATTCAAGCATCATACTCTTTCTCCTCCAACACATCCATGCTGCCAGGATCACTTTCTTTTTGACAAACCTGTATCTCCATTGCTTACCTCGGCCTTCATGGCCCGTGACTGGCCTGATGCCAGGGGGATCTGGTAAGGCCAAAACCCCTTGAATGTACAATTATTGTAACAGAAAACTAGTTGAATTTTAGTAGAAGATGCAATCACTATAGTTCAGCCCTTCTGTCAGTTTTCTTTTTTCAACCTGTCTTTACCCTCTCCACTGACCCCAGGACCACTTCCTGTTTGACAAGCCCGTGTCTCCATTATTGACATGTGCCTTTATGGCCAGAGATTGGCCAGACGCCAGAGGCATCTGGTAGGGTGGGCATGCTCTGCTGCATGTAGTTTTCAGTGTGACATTCCACCAGCAATGTAGTTTTTCTGACTTATAAAAGATGCTGCATGATATTAGTTCCAGTTCCAATAAAAGAGGCTGTGATTTGGTTTAGTCATGCTTAATAATAACTGCAGTGTTTTACCTGCCCTTACTGTTCTCCTCAGGCACAATAATGAGAAGACCTTCCTGATCTGGATCAACGAGGAGGACCACACCAGAGTCATCTCCATGGAAAAGGGTGGCAACATGAAGAGGGTGTTTGAGAGGTTCTGCAGAGGACTCAAACAGGTAAAGAGGATAGAAATGTTTAAGAAATATACAGTAGCTTAAATAAGTATAGGTGTATCTATATACCCAGTGTTTCTTACTAATAGATGAGACAACTATATACCAAAATCAACATGACTATTATTAGTACTACTATGACTACCTGCCATTAAATTGGCATGATGAATTATACTATATTTTAACACCATACAAAAACAGGAAAAATAGAATAAATTTTTTTTAAAGATCAAGTAAAGAAAACAGTAATGATCCAAATATTCCACTATAGTCTCCACCACAGACCCTGCAGGAAACTTTGATCCACAAATTTAAGTGGTATTTTAATTCCTAAAGGTGGAGCATCTGATTCAGGAGAGGGGCTGGGAATTCATGTGGAATGAGAATCTTGGATACATCCTAACATGCCCCTCCAATTTGGGCACTGGTCTTAGAGCAGGAGTTCATGTTCGGTTGCCAAAACTAAGCAAGGTAACACACATTTGCATCATGTTATCAAAAATGGGTAGTAATCTTCATGGCTAAGCAACGAGTGCTAACCCTTTCATCTGAAAATCCACTGCAGGATGCACGGTTCTCCAAAATACTGGACAACCTGAGGCTTCAGAAGAGAGGCACTGGTGGTGTAGACACAGCTGCCACAGGAGATACGTTTGACATTTCCAACAATGACCGCCTGGGCAAATCTGAGGTCAACTCTTGATTACCATTATTTCGATGTTTGGATTCTAGTCTGTAGTTTAATTGAATTAAAACTGTTCTTTATGTTCAGGTGGAGCTGGTCCAGCTATTGGTTGATGGAGTCAACTACCTGATTGATTGTGAAAAGAAACTGGAAAAGGGACAGGACATCAAAGTCCCTGCTCCAGTCGCTCAGTTTAAAAAATAAACTTTCAATCCCTCAATAAGACATGGCAACCTGGGCCATAACTATGTTCCAAGGTGTGCCCTTCATTTTCGTTACAGAGACCATTTCCCTTTCTATCCAACAAGATAAATATTTAGCGCTGAAAAAAATGCTACCTCACATCAAGGTCTTTCACTGTAACCCTAATTAAAATAAACATGAAACAAAGTTCGTATGTAATGCTTTTTCATAAAAATATTGGTAGTATTTGAGATGATTTTAGTGTTGTGTATAGTTATGTAGACTTATAAGATAATCAGTGGACAGTCATAACCCACCAACTCTTTGAAAATTAAACATTACAGAGAACATGAGGTTTACAGTATTTTTTTTAATAAACTTTCCTTTCCTTACAATAACTCTTAGTTATACTAGGCAGAAATGTGTTACAGTACATTGTATTAATAGAAAAGGTATATGTTGTGTGTTGGGGGCAGTGAAGTAATAGAGAAGACAGAAGACAGAAACACTGAAATTCTATAGTAAATATTGAGCCTACAGTTGCAACCTGTTTGCATTCACTTGGCAATTCAAATTTGAAAATAAAATGCAAGAAGAAAATATATTATTTGCTTGTTTTAGGAACTAAGGTTAAGAACAACCAACCCCTGGCAATAACATGCCATTACAGTCACTGTAGTCAGAGTGGCATGTGCCAAATGATGGACAGTAGAAACTCCTTGTATATGAGCACATGAAGAGTCAAATGATACTTTTCACTGTTGTCTTTTCAGTCCACAGGTCGCTTTTCACTGTATTTTTTTGTGAATTCTTCAGCATTTCTCATAAATTTTGCCCGATCTTTTGTGTATTCCTCTGCCAGATCGGCCCTCAATGGGTGTTCAGGCTCTGGGGAGTTCACCAGAGCAACGAGAGAGTGAATCACTACAGGAGATGACAAAGGATACAAGAATGTTATTTATTAGTTTAGTCAGTACCATCATTAAATAATACAAGGAGCATTAGGTATGTTACTGTGGCCAGGTGTTTGCATTTGCCATTATCAGTCCTAGTGACATGTAAAAGAAATGTAAATCTTGAGAAAAAAGTAAATAATGTAACCTGATTACATGAGTATACACACCCTTCAGCTGATAAATTGTTCAAGCAACTTTGGGTTTGATTGACAAAACAGAACATGAAGGCGAATAATTTATATATATATATATATATATATATATATATATATATATATATTATATTATATTATATTATATACATGGATTGTAGTGGGCCCTTCAATACCTTTTCAGGTCAACTGTTTATTTTCAAGAGAGGTGTCCATGGTAATGCCATAGTTATGGACATTTATATTTTTTACACTTGGTGATGACTGACTTCACTGTGCATGTTTAATGCTTTTGGAGCTGTTTCCAGGCTGACGAGATTGGACATTGAGATCCCTATGTGGATCTGAAAACCATTTGTGAACCATGACTTTAGCAGAAAGGTGCTAATAGCAGATCCTTTTTGAATGACAGAACTTCATTGGCAGTGCGTACACTTACATAAGCAGGTTACTGCAGCTTTGTATTTTTCCTTCTAAAAGATTTTAGGTCTGATTTACAAATAACTAATTACACAATAATTTAATTGAAGGAGAAAATTATTTAATAATTCATCCCTGTATTATCCATTGTTTATATCTAAAACATGATATTCATCACATAATAAAAGTGTGTGTTGTGGACTGTGTACTTGAATTTGTACAAACTCATTTAGTGAAGTGTGGGCACTGGACAAACTTGACTGCTTTCATACCTTGGAAAGTTCTGGTGGCTGGTTTCCAGTTCTCAGGACTTATGATGGGTAGGCAGACTTGGCCCTTGTCATCAATGTTTGGATGGTAAATTTTTGTCTTGAATGTGATTTTTGGTGGTTTAAAGGGATACTCTGCTGGAAAGACTATCTCAATTCGAAAAGCTCCTTTGTCATATGGAGGACAATCCTGATTTTACAGAAATGTGTCAGTATTTTAAGAATGTATTTAGGAAGGACAAATCTCTGGTCCTGTACTTACAGAAACAATGAGGCCTTGCCAGTTCAAAATATTAGATTCGTCCACAATTAAATTACGAAAATGTTGTATTCCTGAATTTCGAATATCTTCAAGTTCCTATAGGAGAACAAAAAGAGATTTGTCAAGAGTAAAGAAACAGTCCTCGTAACTCAACTTGGATCAAATCAGAGTTTATTTATATAGTGCCTTCCACAAGCTTGAAGGTGTGCAAGGTGCTTTACAAAATACAAATAAAAACCGAAAATAAGCAATAAAAGCAGTAATAAAAAATACCAAGAGTAGTATGGGTGCCATGTATCAAAGGCAAGTCTGAATATGTAAGTTTTAAGCTTAGCATTGAAGATCCCAAAACATCACATTTACTTCATGCCACCTTTACTAACATTTTAGTGTACCTAACCCTTAATCACACAACATGGTATTTACTTTAATTCACAAAAGTGCTCATTTTAATTGAGTAATGTAACTAGATTATGGCAGAGCCATATAACATATTTGTTTAACTGAAAGTTAAAAAAGTTAAATTTGGCTGTCCATTCTTAACACCACATAAAAAAACAATTCAATTAAGTTACAAAGGGTACTGTGTTTGGTCTGAAAAATGAACCATGACCCAATAACTTTTTATACATATGTAAAAAACACTGACAAAGCACCAAGTAAAAAACATATTTCTCAATATGGAAGAAAGTGTCAGTAAAAATATCATATAATACCTTTGAATAATAGCACTTAGGTTATTTACTTTTGAATAGGATTCATAGAAATAATGGCATGATTTACAAAAGGTAGCTCAAATTCTGTTTTATTGTCTCCAATTGTGTCCAAAAGTTTGTGTCAAGTAGCCTATGATACCTACAATATAAGATCTGAGCCTCTGACGCAACACAACCCTACCCAAAAGGCTCCATGTTAGGAAAGCTGCTGCACTGACAGTGCAGCTGACAGTTTATACCTGCGTAAAACACAACAGAGATTTGCTATTAACCAAAACTACAATTTCAATCAACAACAAACGTAATGTGTCGGTTTAATGGTGGTTTATCAGTGTTTAACTGTAATTAAAAAAAGCCCTTGGTTAATTCTGCCGCTCAGGCAGAGTCATCATGCTTTCGATTTCGAGTAATCAACTGAGCACTTCAAACAGCCAAGACTTGCTACTGCTTGCACAGAAAAGATGGTTTACGTTGTTTAATGTGTGTGTGGATGACTTTATACAACATACCTTGCCAAGTCGCCTTGTGGTGGCCATTATAAACAGGAGTTTGCTTTTCCTGCTTTCTGTTTCTTCCTGTTCCTTCTTCACTTCTCTGAGTTTATTCTTCTTCTGGCTTCACCGGTAGTTAGCACAAAGAGTCAATGTGAACATTATCGCCACCTTCTGGAGAGGACTGTGTAAGCCATAGATTGTATATGTCCAGCATAAGGTAACTCGCCGCTCAAGTGATCATTAAACCCTTACATTTACGCCTGATTTTTCCACTGACTAACACACCTCACTATCTCTTAAGGTTAACGGTGCACTATGTAACTTTTTGGTTGGGTGTCCGTCACATGCTTGTTTCTGTAGATGTGTCACTGCTCTGCCTGGAATGTTCCACAGTATGACATTAAACAGCTCTATCAGACCAGGACCGTTTTGGAAGCACAAGTGACAAGCAGTCTACATTAGCCTTTATCACTGCCTTTATTGGGAAATATTTTTATCCATTCAGACTTGACACAATTAATTGATAAGCTACACACACACACACACACACACAAAATAATAATAATAAAAAATAAAATAATTAAAGTTCTGAATAGCTATGGATCATACCAGAGCGACTGGTCAGAGGAATTACACAGGCAAAGAAGTTCTGAATGATTATATATAACGATAATATGTGTTTTTCATTTCATTTTGTCAATGTGACTTTTCTTGTTATAGAGTTATAGAGGAGGCGTTATTGCTTTGCCTGGAATGTTCTATATACTATGCCATTTAAAAACAACAAACAAACAGAAACACAAACAAAGAAACTGTAAACAATAGTCTGTCGTGGTTTTCTTGTTTTTATTTTTTTTATTACAGAAACACAACAACACGACAAAATGTAAAGCAATGTAAGCAAATGTAGATACAGTATAAATTGCATATGAGATTGTTACGCATCAACGCAAAGTCGTCATGGTTTTCTTCTATGAAAGTCCCAAAAACGAGTGAAACCAAAATGAACCAAACAGCTTTGTAAATGGTTTGCGCATGCGCTCCTGGTCCTGTAGCACCTGTGACCTCACAGTTCAAAATGGCCGCCTGAGAGGAGATTGTACCATCCATGGATTGTACACTTTCCCAAATTAAACTAATCCAACGGATAACATTGCCTTCTTTTGCAACGTTGACTGTCTTTACCGAGAAGAACTTGTTGTCATGTAATTTTTTTTGACAATAACACTTCTGAATAGAAGCACCGGAGACATTATCTGTCTGATTTATGGAGTACCGGTAAGGATTTTAGAAAAATAGTGAGCGTTATGATAGCCTCTACTGGCTAGCAACAGCAGCGTTAGCTGCTAACTAGCTTGCCTGTAAACCAACGATGTTTGTACAACTCAAACATATATTGTAAATCTATTGAAAAGGAGGTTGCTGCTGGCTTAAGTTTAAGTTTACGTAACATATTGTACTTCAAAACAAAATGTTAAAAGTGTTCATTTTTCTTACATTGCTAGGTGTGATAGCTCGAGTGTATTATGTTTCGACTATCTTTCCAGCAATTAACTTGGTTAGAAACACTTTGTTACCAAGTCTTGACATTAATCCCAGTTTGCCAGTTTGTCAATTGGTGATAGTAGGTACTTGAGCAAAACCACACAAGTTTATTTAACTTCGCCTATGTTATCTTTAACTTACTGTGTGGTCTTGTCAATAAATTTGATGCATCCTTGTTCATATGCGCTCGAGTTAATATTGCTGAACCCTTTTATTCTTTTATTTTTCATTATTTTATTTTGCTTTCCAATTAGTATCTAAATTTATTAGTATCTGAATTAATTATGAATTAACATTGTTTGATGAAGTGGCCATAACTGTGTCCAGAATGTAATTTGCACTCTGCATCTTTAGGAATCCTGCTAAAGATTAAAGTGTTGAAGTTCGTTATGGACAGCTTTTTTAAGGCTGCTGTAGGTGATCTGGACAAACTCCTTGATGACTTTGAGCTAAGTTCTGGTAAGATTGTGAGATCATAACATTACTTCTATAATGACCTAATGGATGTGTGGTAAGAAGTAGTAATGCTACAATTTCTCCTGTTTGTTTCTAAAGAAGAACTTGAATGCAATCCAGTGTTCCTGAAGCCAACAGTTTACTCTCCCTTCTCAGCTGCAACCTCCTCATGTTCTTCGTCAGAAACATCCGCTGTTTCTACAACCCTCCCTGACCTCAACTCGCTTCATTATGGCACTATTTCCCCCTTTCCCGGGTGCTTCATTAACCATAACCACACTACAGAAGCACGAGAAGGCAAAGTTCAACCACTCACATGCGTGGACCTTCTCTCCTCTGTAAATCGTAGGCAAGTCAAAAGCTCTGCTCCTCCATGTCCAGATCGAGCTCTGAAGCCAGTCTGTGACCTTGTAAATGACACCAGCTCTGCTATCCTAATGAACAGCAATGATGCTTTCAGTGAGCTGGACATGGTGGAGAGGCAGATGGAGCAGGAAGAGGCATTGCTTGTACACTTTGACCAACCTCTTGCTTCTGGAACGAATGTTGTAGGAAATGGTGAAACTGCCATATCTGAAAGCAGTGTGGCTGACCAGCTTTCTCCTCAAAAGGAGGAGCCAAGTTTGTATTTGGCCTCCCTGGACATCATTCTTCCATTGGCAACAGACCGGTCTAGTGAGTCTGCTTTGGACTCATTCCAAGAACAGAAAGCTCAGTCAGTTGAATGTGAAGTATTGGCACCTACCTGCCTAACAGAGGAGAGTTCTTTGAACCCATGTGAAGGGGACAGTACACAGCCTGTTGAGTGCATGGCAGCAAATGAACCAAGCCCTGACAAGAAAATGGAAACTGATGAATATTCACATGAAGGGTGTGAGGCAGAGGCTCAAATGCAGTCCTATCAGGAGTTACCAAACAGTCAGCCAATAAGTTTGTCGTGTTTGCCTTTAGCTGTGTCTATCTGTGGGTCTCTAGTAAATCATAATACATTGGAGTGTGATTTTGAGCAGTCTGTGGAGCCTTGTGACGAATGTGTATCTGAGAACACAGAGGCAGATTGTTTGTCCATTGAACATCATTTGGAGCAAAGTTCAGAGGAACCATCTGAGTTTCCCATAACTCTCCATGAGACCGATGTCAGACTGTCCACAGATGAGGCTTCCTCAGATGTTGTCCTACCTAACCACTCAGAACCTAGCCCAGTCGACCCTCCTGAGTTTGACTTTGAGTATTTACCTGAGAGTGACCAGGCTGAGATGCTGGTCACAGATGAGGAGTTGGATGCATTTCTCCAGGCACATAGCGAGGCAGAAGAAGTCAATAGTGTTTCTTGTTTCAGCACGTCTAGAGATTTCCCCATACTTGAGTCTATTCCAGATGAACAGAGAACGGTTGTGGGTGAGGAGGTGGTGATTTGTAGTCAGGCAAACAGTGATATTCTTGAAGGTCTTGCATCCCCAGAAAGTGACAGAACAATGTTGGTGTCTGTGGACCAAAATCTAATAGATGGTGCTCAGTCAGACTGCTCTTCTAGTCCTTCTGGGGTGAACGGTCTGTCAACCAGCAACACATTCCAGTCCCAGCATAGCAGTAGCACTGAACATGGAGGTGCTCGGCCTAAAATGCTTAACTGTCAGACCTCCAGAACACCACCAGCAGAAGGGGAGCAACTTCAAAACACCACTGGTTCTACATCACTGCCAGGGGTATCTGAGATCAAGTCCACTTCGCCTACAATGTCCAGTCCAATAGAGGAGCCGTCTGATCTGAGTGAATGTAGCTTAATGCATAGTCCTCAGGACCATGACGGTTACTGTCCAGGCTATGATGAGCTGTCAGAACCTCCACCATATCCTGGAGAGGCCATCACTGGCAGTGTGCAGTGTGCTGAGTGGAAAAGGGAAGGGGAGGAGGAGCTGGGGATCAAGCAACCTGCATGGATGCCTGATGCAGAAGCACCAAACTGTATCAATTGTGTTCAGAAGTTTACATTCACCAGAAGGAGGCATCACTGTCGAGCATGTGGGAAGGTAATAGTTTCTTCCTTCGATGTTATATGAAAAACATTTCTATGGTATTAATTAAGTTGGTTGAGTGGAGATAACTACCTGGGAAGCCACTTTTAGAAATGGCTCAGAGAACAGATTAAGTCCTTGGCACCAAGGAAGCACTGTGCTGTGGAATCAGTTCTTTTTTCAATTCTCTTACATTCCTAGAGATGGAGAAAAAAAATCTATTTAAAGTTTTACTAAATTATAGAGGTTACATAGATATATTAGATGTTCTTGAGAACATTGCACATGGTTATTGCTTCCTCTTTTTTTTATTGTGGCAGGTATACTGTGGGCTATGCTGTAACAGAAAGTGCAAGTTGAAGTACCTTCAGAAAGAGGCTCGCGTGTGTGTCGTCTGTTTTGATTCAATACAACGTGGTAAGGATCTTGATTACAGATGCAAATACTCTAGTACTAGACCATTCTGTAGTAATAGTATTTTAATTTTTCTCAAGGGAAATTGATAACTGAGACTAAACATTATGTAAAGAAATTAGTTGTCATATTTGTCACATCACTATTTATATATCTTTATTGTGTATTAATAATCTTGTAAGACTGCAGAAATAAATGCTTTAAAGAGAGAGGGATGGAAAGATGGCAGAGATGGTAGGGGTGGGAGGGATGGGGAGGGGAGAGTTATAGTAGGACACTACCATTTGTCCTTGGATGTGTGGTGGAGCAATCACCTAACACAGTGGCCATGTGATGCTCACAGACTGTGTCTATATTAAGAAGAAGGAGGTGCTCTGTTTCTTGTAGCTGCGACATTCGCTTGTTTTTCTCGTCTCTCCTGCACACCAGCTACCTTTTGAGCCTCATAGCTCAAACCCTGTTTAAGCTAGCAGGCTAGCAGCAGACAGTAATTTCAGAGAATCTGTGACACAAGTAAGGAAAAGATGTGAGCAGTTACTTCACTATTCTGGATTGGACTTGAGTTGCACTTAAAAGGGTAAGGATGAGGTAAGCTATGACTGAGTTGAGTTTGTTATTTTAGATGCTTTAAACATATTTTAACAAAAACTATTTATAATATAATACATTAATAATAACATCCACCGTCTTGTCTTTTGTGGTTTGTTAGTATCTCTCTACCTTTTATAAGCAAATACGTGGTCTAGATTAGTGAATCTGCTGTGATACTTAATGTAATGTGGCCAAGTGCTGACTTTGCAATTTTAGGAGCTCAGGCCACTAATCATACAGGAAGCATTTGTCATTGATGTTTCCTTGTAATGTCACTACCTTTGTCAACCTTCATTCTTTAGCTACTGTACATATTTGCAAGTTATGTTTTAGTATAGTCTTTCAATTGTCAGTGTGCACTGCTGATGTTTTGGGGCAAATATCTAGCTCGGCTCTCTGTATTGATTGAAGCCAATGGTTTTGACAGTTGTTGTTGTCCTCTTGAGAGTAGTTGTCCGCACAGGGTCCTCTCATAGCCTACAAGGTGAGTTCACTGGGATGCAGTTAAAGAAGGGCTGTGTGCTACAGTCTCTAGTGCACTAGTCTCACACTAATGGCTTGAGGAGTACGTGAAACTGAAGCATAAAACACAAAATGTATGTCCCATGTATCCTGTGTTCCAGAAACCAGAAGTGCCTACTCCTTTTCAAACCTTTCTTAATGCATTCTTTGGCTATGTCTATGTAGTGATTTGACAAAAGTAAATCTGTGGATATAAAATTTTTGGCATGAATTTATTTATTTATTTTTTTAAACAGAAGCTTTGTAACATATACCATGGTTATTGTTAACAGCCCAAGCTCTGGAGCGGATGATGAGCCCTACCGGGCCCAGTCCAAACCCCAATGTCCCGTCTGAATACTGCAGTACAATCCCACCTCTGCAGCAGGCTCGCGCCGCAGGCACTTTGAACTCTCCTCCTCCTACCGTCATGGTGCCTGTGTCTGTTCTGAAGCACCCAACCAATGAAAGTAAGGCAATTTAAAATTACCCTTTCTGAAATATGCTGTGTTCATTTGTTCCTCACAAACTGACCTTTTTTCTCTGGTGGCAGGTTGTCCACGAGAGCAGAAGCGGGTGTGGTTTGCAGATGGCATTCTGCCTAATGGAGAATTTGCAGACACTACAAAACTATCCGTGACGGGCCGTAAAAGTGGAGAGTTTACGCCTGACCAAATAGTAGGCTCTTAAACACTATGACACTATGAAAATATTCTGTGTTCAAAATAATTGTATCAAACTAATTTCAGCCCAGCCCAGCTGACTCAGACACTGGAAGCAGTAGCCAGTCTACTGCTGAAACAACTGTCCCTACAGAAGTGGAGCGACCACAGCTCTCTGGTCCCTGGGATTTCACCTTGCTGTCTGCCATCAGTTCTTCTGTGAGAATGATCCCCAGTCTCCTGCCAGATAATGTAGATGAGCTGCCTCCTTTACTAATTACCACTGGAGAGACAGAAGTTGGAGGTATTTTTTCAGTGTATTGTTACTTCTCCCTTATGTGTTTAATCACATAACTTTCTACAGATATTCTTGTGGAGGAAGCTCCAGCCCCTTGTCAGATTCTGCATTTATTGGAGGAAGGAGGACCTCGCCCTTTAATGTTTGTGCTGAATGCAAACTTGTTGGTGAATGTCAAAATAGTAACTTGTAAGTCCACGCATTACGTACAACATGACAAAAATGTACTTGATGCTTTTTGTTTTTCTTTTTAGCCTACAGTTTCTATGATTTAACTTGGTTTTGTGTATGTTTTTCAGATGGTAATCGCCAATGCTGGTGCTTTGGCTCAACAGGGCTGCAGGCACTGGGACAGAAAGAGTTGGTATTTCTGTTGGAGTGTTTGCCAGAAGAAAAGATACTGCCACAAGATCTTTTTACCCTTTATCTCAACATTTATCAAGATGCACAAAAAGGTTTTTAGATCTTTTATCCCATTTATTCACAAGACTTTCCACTAACATAATATTTTCAAAACTAAATTGGGGTATCTTGTGTTCTAGGAGCTATTAGTTGTAATAATTTTAATGCTGCAGTGGAGGAAAAGTTGTAATGTACATTATATGTACAGCTATGCAACAATTAAAATAATTCAGTAGTTTTAGATCAGGGGTGTCCAAACTTTTTTCATCAAGGGCCACATTTCTAAACACAGACGAAGCAGAGGGCCGATCGAGGGCCATAGACTGATGCTCAATACAGTGAAAAATTAAAATTTTGCATGTTTAACAAGTTAGAATGAGCCATCAGACTTTATTCACGCTAAGATCCTTAAAACCACAAAAAACTTGCAGTAAAAAGCTCATTTTTAATTGATGCAAGATAATTTGGGCCAATTCACCTGGAAGTCTGAGGGCCAAGAAAAATTTGTGTGAGGGCCGCATTTGGCCCCCGGGCCATAGTTTGGACATGCCTGTTTTAGATAGTCCTTATTATATCTGAACCTTATGTGGTGCAATTGCAACAATAGACAAAGGAGTGAGGTTAAGTTAATTTGTTTTTTTTTTAATTGATAACATAACTACTGTTCACTTATATCTTCCAGGGAAGTTTATAGATGACTTGGATAACATTACGTTCACAAGCAGTTTTCTGGGCAGCAAGGACCATGCTGGGATGCTTTTCTTCTCTCACAGCTGTCAGCCTCTAGATGGGCTCAGTCTGCCTCCTGAGCCTTTCCTCTTTGGCCTGCTCATACAGAAACTAGAAGTTCCTTGGGCGAAAGTCTTTCCTCTGCGACTTCTTCTACGATTGGGCTCTGAATTTGGTGGTAGGTGGCTGTAGTTGATCATTGTTAAAGAAGGGGTATGCAATTTCAACTTTTTTGAGTGTTCTCCATTATAATCCTCATCAAAAAACATTCTTGAAGTGGTTTTATTTGTCATCCATGCATGCTTGTGTAACCTTGCAGTCTCTCAAAAATGGAATACAAAACTATAGACTACAACTTCGCAAACCTGATGTGAAGTGCAGTACTTTCATGCACGCCGATTGTGTTGTGAAAGCACTCTGAGGGGGGAAGGAGCAAAGGGAGGGGGAGACTCCAAGCTGAAATGAATTTAACATTTTAATATAGGCATGTCCAAACCTTTTTCACCAAGGGCTGCATATTGAAATAAGTGACTCATTTGATGCAGATTTGACTTAGCCTCCACATCTTAAATAAGGGTTGGATCATTATGTTAGGACATTAAATTGATTGTTATTAAAGTTATAATAGATTGTGATAAGATGATATTTTTCAATATTTGCAGTAAATATTACTACATTTTGTAATTTAGGCCAATTCAGCAGAGCCGCACTCGGACCCTGGGCCATAGTTTGGACACCTCTGATTTAATATTTTGTTTCTGACAAACATTGCATTTTCAAAACGATAAAAAGTAACATAGAGATCTAAGTATGGTATGTCTTAGCAATTACCCCACACTAATATATCCCTTTTAAGCATTGTGTTCCACTGTATGTGTTGTGTGTTGTTACTGTAAATACTTTTATTTTTTCAGCCTATCCCGCGCCCCTGTCAAGTGTGCGTTTTAGGGATACTGTGTACCGGGAAACAGGCCACACAATAATGAATTTACTGTCCGTAAGTAACAACTTATTTATGCATTAAACAAATGCATTGCTATGTACACACAGCAGTGTAATAAATGTGAATGTACGTATTAAACAATTTTCAAAACACACAGATTTGCTTTACAGTAATACATCTCATTTCATTACTCACTCATGGTAAGCTACTATTGTAGCCTCCGCTGCCCTCTGATGTAAGGTTTACTGCCTAACTGCACTACCAGCAATCACACAACATTGATTCCACCCAAATGCTGGTCTGTGGTCCAGTGCCCTATAACTAAGCTCCTGCTGTTGAATATGTGGATCCTTATCAGCAGGTCAAAAGTTTTTCTCAGTCTTGAATCTTTTGATCACAGGATCTTAGAAACTACCAGTACAGTCTGCCTGTGGTGGAGGGCTTGCGAATCCACATGGAGATGGGCCATAGTTATATTGACATCCCCAAAAGCAGTGTCAGTGAGGTAAGACATAAGCAGAAAGTCAATGCAACTTGATTTTAGGACATTGTCAGACTGTATATTGTAGTGCTACTTACACAAGCCTATTTTTTAGATGCTTAAAGTTGTAAATTCATCCAATGAACATGTGATCAGTGTTGGAGCAACGTTTAGCCCTGAGGCAGACTCTCACCTTGTGTGTTTTCAAAATGAGGAAGGAAACTATCAGACTCAAGCTAACAGCATGCCCGGAAAGACACGAACAGGTGACTGACGTGGCTCTATATTCAGTAAATTTTTTTGAGCTTTAAATTAAATTACTAAAATATTTTGCTCCCTGTAGTGACAGGGGCCAGTTTTGTGGTCTTTAATGGAGCACTAAAGCCTTCGTCAGGTTTTAAAGCAAAGTCCAGCATTGTAGAAGGTAAATGACGTTTGTCAGCAGGCATTGTATTGTTTCTCCTTAACTTATGCTTGCTCATGTGTGTCAGATGGACTGATGGTGCAGATCCCACCAGAGACCATGGAGTCCCTCCGCGTAGCCCTCAGAGAGCAAAGAGACTTTGACATACCTTGTGGCAAAAGCGATGGCACAGAGGTCAGAGAAACTGTCACTGTGCGCTGGATCAACTGGAGTGCACTTGTCAATAAGGGGTAGGGTACTCTAAAATTCTCAGGACCAAAGTAATGAGTACTAAGGCTAGGCTAGGCTAAGTAAGGACTAAGGACTGAATTACAAGGAGCAGTGCATCTAAACACCACAACCCACTGCTGAGTTTTAATCTGCTTATAGCATGGTCCCACAAATGAAAAAACATTTTCATTTTGAATCTTTCACAACTCATTTGATGTCTGTGGATGTTTGAGGCATTCGCTGTTTCTTTTTTTTTTTTTTTTTACTTTATTTGTGCTCCTACTCATAGAGCAGCACCATACAAGATTCCTAGTGGTGAGTACACCACCCGCATGAAATCCATAGAAATTTATGGAAACAAGCAGGTGGCAGACCCTCCACCAGAAAGGTTACAAGTCATGCTTGGTAGCGACAAGCCCCAGGTGACTAACAAAGGTGCACGTTCTTCAGGATTTTTCAGTGGTCTTTCACTAGTTCGTTGTTTACCTGTTGCTATGGTAATTAAAGCTCAGTAATCTTGGAAACATGTTTTTAAATGTATTTATTTAGTTATGAGTGTTTTTATTAAACTTAAAACATTGAAAAACATGCATTATTGTCAACTGGCTTGCCTCTGATCACACTTAATCCTGATTTTGTTTTTTGTTTTTTAGTAAAACAAGTGCAGTGGATGGGAAATCACTGGATGGAGTTCACAGTGTAAGAGTTCAGCAGGACTCAGAGTTTCAATCTGATGGGCGTTCTATTAGATGTACTGAGGTATGAGCAATTCATCTCCTAAATGCAGTTTAATTGTGCAGAAAAATGTCTGAATTTGAATATGTTCACAGGTTTTCTGCCAATTGAAGAGTTCTGACACCAGCCTTGTGTCTGTGCTGGCCTCATGCAGTGCTTTTCAGAAAGACATTGCTTTAGCCACATGTAGTGCCCTCACCCCACACCTCTCTGTGCTCATGTCAAGTGGTATTAACTCCCTGTCACTGCGAGTCTCTACACAGGCTGACATGGTAACTATTAAGACTTCCCCAAGCAAGCACAAAAACAGTAATTCAATATGGTCTGACATTTGTCTTTCCCTCAGGCTGAGTATCAGGCTGGTTCTCGAGGGCGGCTTCTCCCACAGCGTTACATGAATGAGCTAGATAGTGCTTTAATACCGGTCATACACGGAGGAAGTGCAAGTGTTCCCCAGACTGCTATAGACATGGAGTTTGTTTTCTTTATTACATACACCATCTGATGTGGCACAATGCATGACGAGCCTAAGATGGCTGGCATTTAAAATATAAACTATGATATAAACGATGTGGGACATACAGTTTGGATAAGGAACTGCTATAAGTCCTGCAGACACCAAAGCTGCTTATATTCAGGAAGCCAAATGCTAATCAAGAACACCCTTACCAAAAACATAAACTCTTGGAGGTGTTTATTTCTGCCTTCCAGCCTGGGGCCACTCAGTGAATGTTCCTGCAACACTTATGTGGATGTATTTATTCTTTATAGTTTTTGCTGATGATTTAAATTAAATCAAAGGACAGTCACAATTATACCAGGTCTGTATGATGGAGAGCTGTTATAACTTTTTTTCAGTCACTGACTATTTACACTTTCACTGTAATTGCATGTATGCATATGTGACTTTCATAATGATGTCAAATGACAGAGGTTTTCAGAATTATATAATTTGTTAATATATTTATCTTTGAAGAATTGAACTGATATCAGATGTTACGTCATCTTCCCAGAAATGTATTGAATTGTGTTAATGTCTCTGTTTTCATTAATGTTTAAAATCAACTGATGGCATTATGCAGTTTGATTTAAAATTTCTCAGAAAACTTCTGACTGGACTGGTTTTGTCCTTAATATGTATTCACTGTACCAGTTCCCCACTTTAGACCACACTTAAACGTAAGCATAAACTGTGCTCCTCCTTCTGAATGAATGTCTGAGCAGCTGTTTTGTCTACATCATACAAACCTGGTTGATGTGATTAACTACATTTTGTAAATGTACTTGTGACAACTGCTTCTCAAGCTTTTCTATTTGTCATCTTTTTTTCGGATGTTGTGCAAGAGCAGTTGATTATACATCTTGCATTTTGTCTTTCCTCTGTACACACTCCCATTGTACAGAAAATATACTTTATGCAAATGTGGCTCCACTACTACTCAGTTGTTTTTTTAATAGATGTTACTTTTTTGGAGTCCATGGTAAAAGTTTAATTAAACTGAATAATCACATATTTTTGATAGAAAGAAGGCAGTTAACTGTAGTTTTTGTGTTATACAGGAATGAAAAACATACTACCAGTAATCAGCTATGCTGCTTAATGTAATTAATCTATTTGAGCAAATGTGCACATGTTATGAAAACATAAATTGAGCCAGCATTTTTGACTTAATTAAATGACAAATCAATGTTCATTTGAACATTTTTGCTTCTTTTAACTTGCCAGTAGTAGTCAGGGGAGTAGCAGAGGGTGCTGGTATTTTGTTGTGGTGAGCTGCTGGCATTTTTATGTCCTTTTTATTAGCAGTTAATAGTCTTCAGTTATGTAAATCCACTATTCATGGACACCAGCTTTATTTTAAAGAACCCAGTGTATCTGATCAGTTTCTGTCTGAACTAAAAAATTAAAATATATTTATAAATTAATTGTGTTGTCTTGTTAGTTTTCTTTCTGTACATTATGTCAGATTCTGATGCAGTTTGAGTTCAGTGTGTTGCAAACTCTCTTTAAACTGTGAGGGAAAGTCCTCTCGAGTAAAGGGGTGTGTTTTGTTGTTTTACAAATGCTGACTCCAGTTGAGTTCATTCACTCTGATTAAGCGACCCAAGACAACACATACTTGACAGACAGCTCAAAGATGAGTGGACGAGTGGGAGACCTGAGCCCAAGGCAGAAGGAAACTCTATCTGAGGTTAGAGTGTGAAGATGGGTTAACTGGTTAGACATTTTTAATCAATTATAGCATGTGAATATTATTGTCTTGTGCTCAGTTTAGGGAGAGAATCCAGGACATCCTACCCCACCTGCCAGAACAAGATGACCACTACCTTCTGCGCTGGCTCAGAGGTAATCCGAAAGCACAAACAAAACATATCACAGTCACTGTTGGTGACAAAACACTTGTTTGAATAATTTAAAGACAAGTGAAATGTCAACACCACTGATTAATATAGTGATTTGTTGGGAAATATTTTTGAGGATGACCAAGACAAGAACCCCTTTTTCTTTTAAGTAGGCAACAATACTGGTTACCTGAAACTACTTGCATTTTACTGTCATGCGTAAAAAAGTCAATGAACTGGTTTGCTTGTGACAGAGTGTGTAGCCTCAAGTGCTTACTACAAATACCTTAGCTAGTACTTCAATTTTGTTTGCACTTCATTCATGGGAAAACTGGTGTTAATTTTTTTTTATTTTTTATGTTACTATTAATTTGTAATAAATAAAACAGGTGATACATGTTGATGTTATTGAGGTAACTTTCATACATATACAGTACTGTAAAAAAATCATTATAGGCTAAATTTAATCAAAATTAAGTGGTTAAAATGTGGCCTCACAAATCTTATCGCAGAGTAAATATTTGTAGAGTAAATATTTTGCATGAACTGTGGTTAAAGTGTACCTGTTTCCCCCACTAACCTTATTGTAACATTATATGCATAATTGTTCACGTTTATGTGAATATGGCTCTAATTGAATGCCTTGTATTTGTCTTCCTTTGGGGTTTTCAAGCAATAGAAACATGTTTGCTGTCATTTCCAGATATCTAGGGCACAGTTTATGTCTTTGAACAAATCAATAGTGCAATGGGGTTCAGTATTTGTTAACCTTGAACAGGCTTACATAAGACCAAAAGTCAAAAAAAGTATCTTATTAACAAAACAATGTTACTATCATAATTTACTTGTCATTCCTATGAGTGGAACCAACAAATGATAAAAGGATATTTATGAATCATTAATATTTACTTTTTTCCCCAGCCCGTAATTTTAGTATTCAGAAATCAGAAGCAATGATCAGAAAGGTAATGTAAAATTTTATTGTATTTTTCTGTTTTTGTATATAATAATTATGTATATGTTTCTCTCAGCAGCATTTGGAGTTCAGAAGACAAATGAAAGTAGATACCATTGTTGAAGACTTTAAACCTCCAGAGGTACATGTCCCGGACCGGTTGCCCCAGCAGCATTGAAGAGAGGGTCAAAGGCGGAAGATTTTCTCATAGGGACAATTACCATTAACCTTAGCAAAGACAAAAGGGCCCAATATTTCCTAGTCTAGTTATTTTTCATAGTTACTAACATTGCCTGTATGTGAGAGGTCACCAGTTTCTGCTTTTATTTGGCATTGCTTGTTTTCTTATAGTTTGACTGATGCATTGATTGATGTATTGATAATTGTTTGCTCTATCTCTTCTCAGGTTATTAAAATGTACGTGTCTGGAGGGATGTGTGGTTATGATCGAGACGGTAGCCCCATTTGGTATGATGTAATTGGCCCCCTAGATCCCAAAGGCCTTCTACTGTCAGCCACAAAGCAAGACTTTCTTAAGACTAAAATCCAACATACAGAAATACTTCGGAGGGAGTGCAAACGCCAGTCTCAAAGAGTATGAAAAATTACATTTACTTGAAAAAAAATGAATGATGGGATATGATATGATATTATAGTATATTGTGATGTGTGAGCTACTGTGTCCAAATAATGTCCCTTGTGGATCAGTAAAGTTTGTCTAAGTGTAAATCTAATTTAGATGTAAAATATTTAACATAGACAAAAATTAGCATATTATCTGTTTCTTTTAGCTGGGGAAACTCATTGAATCCATTACACTTATCCAAGACTGTGAAGGCCTGGGTTTGAAACATATGTGGAAGCCTGCCATTGATACATATGGAGAGGTTTGTCTCGGAGAATATATTTTATTTAACTAAATAACTTTTTAACAGCCATGGATCTCTATAGGTTCTCACAATGTTTGAAGACAACTATCCAGAAGGGCTAAAAAGGGTATATCTTATCAAAGGTAAATTTAATAGGTTGTCTATTTGAAATATTTCATTTTCAACTATTTAATGTTCAAATTTGAAACTATTTCATGTAGCTCCAGCCATCTTCCCAATGGCCTACAACTTAATAAAACATTTTCTTTGTGAGGAAACCCGACGTAAAATTGTCATTTTAGGAAGTAAGACCAATTTCACTCCTTCTATGAAATTTTAACTTTAAAAAAAGTGATAATTAAAGTCTGCTTAAATAGGTAACTGGAAAGAGGTGTTGAGAAAGAACATCGACCCTGATCAGCTTCCGGCAGTGTATGGAGGAAACTTAACAGATCCTGATGGTGATCCTCGCTGCAGAACAATGGTGAGAGAAATGTTAAAGATAAATAGGAAAAATACAGTTATATAATATTCATATATTTTGTTTGTTTACAGATAAATTATGGGGGCACTGTTCCCAAGTCATATTACATCCAGGACTCTGTGAAGGTTCAGTACGAAAATCATGTCACTATCAGCCGTGGTTCAGTGTTTCAGCTTGAATATGAGGTCACTACCCCCAACACACTTTTAAGGTAAAACCTTAGATATCGGCTCTGATAGTTCTCTTTATAGTTAATTATGTCTCAAATGGAATGTGCACTGTCACAATATAATGCAAAAAATAAATCACAAATATTTCCAAAATAATTTCATTGGTGATCCCTGGGCAGTGCTGAAGTAACAGCTGGTTTACAATGAGTTTGTATTAAAATGTGTATAATATTGTCAATAAAATGGAAAAATGTAAATGTCAATAAAGGAAGTGCAATCTCCAAAACAGACACATAACAAACTATGACAGCATTTACTAAGAGTATACCCAATATAATAATACAGTTTATCAAATTATCTTTAATCTGTTTGATATTTGTCTATTTTCACGGCAGATGGCAGTTTGCCAGTGATGGAGCAGATATTGGCTTTGGTGTCTATATGCGCACCAAAAAGGACGAGAGTCAAAATGTGACAGAGATGCTCCAGATCTTGCCCACTGAAAGGTATAATGCCCACCTGGTCCCAGAGGACAGCTGCCTGACCTGCTCTGAACCTGGAGTCTGTAAGTGACAGATAAAGCTAACAGCTGATTGTAATCAGACTGCATTACTAACACTTACTTTCACATATTTGCAGATGTGTTATGTTTTGACAACAGCTATAGCATTCTTCAGTCCAAAAAACTGAGCTACAAAGTGGAAGTTGTTCCTACGGCTGATTTGCAAACACTCAGTCAACACAGCAGAGGAGATATGAGACTGCAATAAGCATAATACAGAGGACACAAATGGCCCTTAGACAGCCTACATTAAGTATACTTCTTTTGCTGCAATTAAGAACATGGAAATACAGCAGGGTAACATCTGCTACACTGTTTGCATTGCCACATATGCCTAACACAGACTAACATAAATAATCTTTTTGAACTCAAATAAGCCTTATTCTTGCCAGTGTTGCCCATCCAGGTAGAGTAGGTTAGCCTATTTTATAATGCTAGAACATTACTTGTAACATTCTTGCAAATTTTATTTTGCCCACAAGATGGCACTGCTTGATGCTGAGGGTTACATAATTGCTGGTCATGTTGTAGTATCTCGATGTTCTGTTACTGCTCTCCAAGGTCAAAATTTAAGGTAAGCTTTCATTCCCAACAAACCTAATACAAACATTATTCGCCTAAACACTGCGTAGAAAAGAAAGAAAGACATATAATATTGACCTATTTTGTATTAGCCTATATAATAATTAAACTGTTGATGCTGCACCTTGTTTTTCACCTCTTATTTGTAAAAATTGCTGACTGCAGTGAAGAGCCGAGACTTGGACTCCGTGCCAAAGGGATGCAGGCATGGCGCAGGATGGAGAGGCGGGGCAAGGACAAGGATGCACGGATACCATGTGGCTTACATAACAGCAGCTGTTACCGGATAGGTTACTACAGATCTGCTGCTGCGCTCCAAGCCCCATCCGTCATAAATAGGTTCATGTAGAGAAAATTTAGTTTTCTTCGACTGGTTTTATCACACTGTCTTCCAAAAACATGTGAGCCCAATGGTTCTTATTTTATTATGTTCTTTCTTATTTTTTGCCACCTGTTTGCCTATGAATAAGAAAGTAAGCATAAGAGAATCTTTTATCGTCCCACAACTGGAACTTTTCAGTAGGCTGCTGCCACGCAAAAGTAGACAGACTGCAGGGACAGAAGACTGAAGATATTTCTTAGAATGGCAAGTAACAAAGCTATGATGACAAATTAGTCATCAAATAAGCAGTTATATCAGTTATAAATTACCTAATGTTACTTGTGTTATTTTATTTTATTTTTTTTGTAATTGTACTTTTATTAGTAGATGTTTATAGCTTATACAGAATGTATAATTCCTGTAATTATGTCATCAGGTTTTGTATAAAACACTTACTTAAGATTGTATTAATAGCTAAGTAACTTTTTTTATGCATATTTATATAGATCGCAAATTTGGCAGTAGTTTCCCATTTGCAACTGAATATGAATTTTAAGTAGACTATTCTTTCCACAGCTGTGGTTATAACTGGTGATGTACAGTAAAGATTAGGAACAACAATAAAGTTATGTGACTTCAGTGAATCATAGTCATTCACATGCACAGTATTGCGCATGATCACACAAGTGAATGACACGTGTACGGAGCTACCAGTTTTCACACTGACAGCAGCAGGAAGGAAAGACCCGTGGAACCTCTTCTTCACACAGTGGGGGTGGATTGTTCACCAGATCAGTCTTTCACCCGTGGTCACTCATGGTCTACTGAGTTTAGCCAGATCCTTACTGTCCCCCACCTCCTGCACTGAGTGTAGAGAACAGCCCAGGATGATGCTGACTTTTGGATGACCTTGTGCAGCTTTTTTGATCATCTCCCTCTCTGTGGTGTTGATGTTCCAGCAGACCACAGAGTACAGGATGGCCATCATGTCATAGAAGGTCCTTATAGTTCCTCCACTCCAAAAGACCACAGTCTCCTCAGGTAGAGCCTGCTCTGGCTCTCCCTGTGTATTTGCGAGTCAAATTGTTTATTGTTCAATAACATAATAGTAAATGCATTACATTTTTATTACCATAGAAATACACTTGGCCCTGTGGTGCTACTGCTTGTCTCCAGGAAACAGATTAGATAGGCTTCTCTGTATAACTGTTGGAGTTGAGGGATTTTGTCCATTAAAAATATATTAGGCCTATGTTTTTACGTTAAAGCCAATGTAGTGCCCCCAAACAGAGTTAATGCAAATAAATAAATAAATAAATTTTAAAATTAAATATCTCAAAAAAATCCTGAGTCCTGAACAACAACCTCAGTCGTACAAATATTTGCTGACCAGAGTTGAGCTAGAGGAGGATAGCCGCTCCGTCCGGGTGTCGGTTATCACCATGGTGATAGCTGTGGCGGTCAGGGGGTGTGTGCGTGATGCGGCAGGGGCGGGGCCGCTGCTGGACATGAGTAAATGACGTCAGCTCGCAGGTCGCCAGGCAGTGAAACAAACATGGCGACAGAATGGAGCGGACAGCAGGGTTATGTTCTCACCGTCATCATTTTTCTGTGGAGTGTGATCGGTGGCCGGACAGAGACGGCTGTCAGCGGGAGTGGAGGTGGAAGCGGTGGGGGACAGGTGTTAGGCATGCGTCTAGAGAGAAGCGACAAGCCCGCCACCACCAATGACGACGGTGTCATCCAGGTGACTGAGGAGAGCTCGGTCCTGCTCCGGTTTTACGGGGTGCAGCTTCATTCTGGTACCTGGACACAAATTCGCTTTACAGAGTTGTCTGACAACAGAGAGGGGGATGCTGAAGATGATGAGGAGGAGGCAACGGCGGTGAGGGGTGGCAGTGGCATGATGCTGGGCATGGACAGGACTTGCACTGATTTTACTAAAGACATTACCGTAGGGACCTTTATGAACGTGAGTCGCAAAGGAACATCAGGCCTGCTTAGTATTAATATCAAGCCCCTTCGGAAGAGTGAACCGCACAAGTTTTATGCACTGTGCATCCTGAGCAATGATGGGAGCACGTGGGTGATGTTGGGAGGCAATGATTCCAAGGTGGTTGTTGTGGAGGAGAAAGGCTCCTTGCTGCCCATGTGGCTTCAGGTCATCCTCATATCTTGCCTACTGGTCCTCTCTGGGATGTTCAGTGGCTTGAACCTGGGATTGATGGCACTGGATCCCATGGAGCTTCGCATTGTCCAAAGCTGTGGTACAGATAAAGAGAAGAAATATGCCCGAAAGATTGAGCCCATTCGTAGCAAAGGGAACTATCTTCTCTGCTCCTTGCTGTTAGGAAATGTCTTGGTCAACACTACACTCACCATTCTTCTGGATGATCTCATAGGGTCAGGTTTGGGTGCTGTAGTTGCTTCCACTATTGGCATTGTCATATTTGGAGAAATTGTTCCTCAGGCCTTATGTTCTCGCCATGGACTGGCTGTGGGAGCAAACACTATCATGGTTACCAAATTTTTCATGTTGCTGACCTTTCCATTGTCCTATCCTGTGAGCAAGTTGCTGGACTTCTTGTTGGGCCAGGAAATTGGCACTGTGTACAACAGGGAAAAGCTTGTGGAGATGTTGAAAGTGACCGAGCCCTACAATGACCTGGTCAAAGAGGAACTCAACATGATCCAGGGAGCTTTGGAGCTGAGGACTAAAACTGTGGAGGATGTGATGACCCCTCTTGCAAACTGCTTCATGATTCAGTCCGATGCTGTTCTGGATTTCAACACAATGTCAGAGATCATGGAGAGTGGATATACTCGTATACCTGTCTATGATGACGAGAGGACTAACATTGTGGACATTCTGTATGTGAAAGACCTGGCTTTTGTTGATCCAGACGACTGCACAACCCTGAAGACCATCACAAAGTTCTACAACCACCCAGTGCACTTTGTGTTTCATGACACCAAACTGGATGCCATGTTGGAGGAGTTCAAAAAAGGTGTGTCTATCACTTTACATATTTAAAGCGGCTAATTTCTTTGCTTGTTTCCAGTCACACTGAAGGAGGGTGCTGCAGAGGGATCAGCTGCTGCTATTTTTCTGTGTGTGTGACATTTCCTGCCTAATGTTTCTTTCTCTAATGATCTGCAGTATTGACGAGTGGAATGTCCTAGCTATCATTAGCTCACATAACAGTCTGGACCCTGCACAGTTCAAGTAAAAATATCTACTTTATTTTGAGGCAATCTATTCATTGGCATGTATATTTTACTAATCGTTACTGTCAGACAAAAATAATGTTGGTTGTCTTTCCAGTCAATGAAAATTTGCATCATGTAAAGGATGCTTTAAAAGCAATATTTATAGGCAGCACCGGTGATCTTAGGTGTGTCTAGTATGAGGAACAGTTATAAATGGATATGTTTTATACCACTTTGATGTTCAAACCATACGCCGTTATGTTTTGCTATATTTTGCTGTGCAAACTGCTGCAGAAAACTGAGTGTGATCTTTAACCTTGCTGTGCATTATCCAAGAGGACAGGTCAATGGGGACATCCGTGTATTTTATTATGGGTTTGTCTACAGTAGGAGAAACCTGTAACTCACATGCTTGAACCATTTAAAGGTTGTACTGAATAATCTTAAATAATGATAATTGAGACCCCTCTTTTAAATACTGTGCAATGCCACTTAATCTCTTCTCTTCCATCTCTCTATCCTCTAACTCGTTATTTATTTTGGCCCGCCTGCTTTTCTTTCCAAAGCTCTTAGTCCAGTCTGAGCTATATTAAGGCAGCAGTGTGTCCTCCTGCAGCTAAATCCAATGACGGCTCTGACAAATCAAATGCGGAATGATGTTAACTGTCCAAATTGAGAACAAAGTTGTGAACACAAAAGAATTCAAGCTTTTCAAAAGTTTTGCATTTTTCTGACATTTGATTTGTGTTTTGAACTGTAGCTATAGCTGTAGTTAACAGAGATCTCTGTGCTCCCTAGGTAAATCCCACTTGGCCATTGTCCAGAAGGTCAACAATGAAGGGGAGGGCGATCCTTTCTATGAGGTGCTGGGATTGGTCACGTTAGAGGATGTAATTGAAGAGATAATCAAATCAGAGATCTTAGATGAGTCTGATCTTTACAGTGAGTCAGCCTTTCTTAATGCAGACCTCTATACATTATTGATATACACATTAAAACCTACCATGTCCTGATTGTACCTGCAGCCGACAACAGAAACAGGAAAAAAGTTGACCCCAATAAAAACAAGCGTGACTTTTCTGCCTTCAAACAAGAAGGTGATTGCAAAGTCAAAATCACACCTCAACTGATGTTGGCTGCACATCGTTTCCTGGCCACAGGTGAGCTTATCATTGCTACTACTGGGACTCACACTCCAACCACTTTTGCCACAGTGTTATTTTGTTGATGTATTTTTTTCTTTCCTAGCATTTGTTGAATCCTATCAGCCATCATGTAAAACATTAACTCTCAGTTTTTAAGGTGAAAGATAACAGAGGTGCAAGGGACAATATAAGACAAAAAATACAAATAGTCAAATAAAAACACACCAGGAAAAAAACATGACATTTTTAAAGCAGAACTACAAACATGTCGACACAGATGGGCATATGTAGGCTGCTGATGACTCTTATTTAGTAGTAGAAATGCAGACTGTTTTGTTTTTGAAGAAGCAAAGAGAAGCACTTCTGAGTTTATGTGCTGCTTTTTCCAACCAGCTTGAGGTTTTTGACCAATTCCTCAAAAGGTGCTTTGAGTTATCTACCCGAATTGAATTTATGGATTATTTGTTGATATAGAAAATGCTAATAATTAACATGAGCATGATAGGATATGTAATTTAACTTGCATTTTGTATTATTGTTTTTTTTGTAGAGGTGAGTCTGTTTGGCCCTTTTCAAATCACAGAGAAAGTTCTCTTGAGGATTTTGAGGCACCCAGATGTCATTGAGGAACTGAAGTTTAATGAGAGTGACAAAAGGTCATCAAAGCACTACCTCTACCAGAAGGGAAAACCTGTGGACTACTTCATACTCATTCTACAGGTGTGTAATTACAACTCTATGTTATGTCATGTAAGTGTACATTTAGTTTTTATTGAAGAATGGAATTATACATTTATACTAAGTATCTGTAAACACCCATAAACTGATATATGGAGACAAAGCAAGAGACAGGAGACTAAATATGATGGGGCAATGTGGTTACAAACATAGGCTTACCTAGGGTCACTGCATCAGTCTGCATAGAGTATTAGCACAGGTTAAACATGCTGACCTTCAAAGACAGGCTGGTATAACCACTATTTTCAGTAGTCACAGAATTTGATTTAATTTGATTATATATTAAAAAGTTAAAACTTAGGTTCATATTAAGCTAATATACACTTATATATATATATATATATATATATACACATACAATAAATAACATTACAGTATGCATGACCTTTCCATAGTAGATCCTCTTATATAAGGGAGAAGCACAGGGGCGAGTGGGATTTAAGGGTTAAGGAGGATGGAAAAGAAGCAAAGCAGAGGAGAGCTTAAGATCTGTTGAGAGTCAACTGTCTCCAGCATGACATATAGATTGTAAATTAAACAAGCATT